AGAAGAGATCATTTGTTGTATTTTAAGAGAAGGTGATAAGTTACTAAAATTGTTAATACTTGTGATTAAGGGGGAAGTCACTTCTTTATATATTTCTTTTCTTCTTCTTTACTATATTCTTATTTTTTCTTTCAATTCCTCTTCTATTTTTCTCTAATTTTTTCTTTCTTTTCAGTACCCTCTATTTTTTCTTATTTTTTCTTTTCTTTTTTTAGTGTGTATTCGTTTTTACTGTTGTAATTGTAATCTTTAATAAAATTACTATAAAAATAAATTTGTATTGTTTTTACTGTGTAAAAAAAACTTCTTTAATAAAATTTTGTAAAATGTAAACAATATGTTAGGTAAACTGTTAGTGAACAAAATGCTTTTACCTGCTGACACTCTCTGATTCCACTTAGTGCTCCAGCTACGTCACACTGGCAGTCTGTAAAGGCAAACAAAACTATCTGAATCCCAGCTAATGAAAAATTGAGTATACTACTAGAGTCCACTAATCAAGTGACAAATCCTGGACATTTGGGTTCTGGTGGTTTTATACAATTGATAGACAGACTTAATTTTCTTTACACAATACTCAAAGTTGGAACTTTTATATACTGTGAGGTCCAGAACATTCAAGCTATTCACTTCTTTGTTCCTCATGCTGTGTCTATCTTATTACATATAGAGTAAAACACCTCAAATGGGAATTAATTTTGGCTGCCTGCAAAATCTTGCAAACTTTGCCATTCCAACAGGGATACAGAGATTTAAAAAATAACAGCCACAGTGGAAAAACAATTGACCAGCCATGAGGCAGCAAAACAGAATATACAAGTTTTTCAGTTCTCCAGACCTCACTGTCAGGCACAATGTTGAAAATAATGAAGGACAGGGAAGCAAGACTCTCCAAAGATTAAAACAGAATCAAAATATTTGAATCAAAATATTAAATTAAAATAACCTTTCCTATTTCACAATTAACTTCAAAATGATAGGAGTGGAGAAGTATGACAGCAGATGAATCTGAGATCTGTCCTTCAATTTCCATACTTATTGGGATTCTGAGAGATGAAATCAACTGAACAATAATTATTCTCTCTTATTTGTTCTTGGTCATGCTGAATATCAATTCTTTTCTGTAATGATTCTCCTGAAAACCTTATTTTCTTTTTCCAGCGTTGACCATTATATTAATTAATAATGTCAGTTCAGTACTAATTTCTATTTTGAAGGATAGATTGATGCAAACACATTACTGTATAGATGATATGATTATTTGTGGAGGGAGGAATATAGTATACATTGATTTGCAACATACTGTATATAATGCAAATTATGCATTTTGCAAAATACATTATAGTAGAAACAGTATAGTGTAGAACAGTGTAGAAACAGCATAGTGTTTTGCAACATATTCAAAAAGCAAAATCTCAGTAAATGTCACACTGAAAGGCCTCACAAACACTCCCATCTGTCAGTAGCATCTCTTAGAACCTCAACTCTATTTCTCTCAAGGCTGATGAACACAAAATAGTAGCTGATTTGGAGGATCTGGATTGGGCTGAAAGTCAATAGGGGGAAAATAGGCTTGATTTTCATTACATGCATCCTCACCTACACATCCATAAGGATTTTCTCTGGCCAGGTTCCAGTAAAGTGGCTTACAGATGTTACAGGTTGGGCCATCTACATTTTGTAGGCACTCACAATAGCCCTAGCAATGAAGTGGAAAAGACATTTGTCATTAAAGAAAACTATAGAGCATAACAAGCTAATGATGTAAATCGATATAAATAGAGAATTGAGATTGGAACAATGTTACAGGTATGGAACTGATTTAACAAACAAGTTGCCAATGGTATAGTGAGCCTTACTCAATAGACATTAGACTATACTGACTGTAATACTTGCAGGACTCAAAGTGAAAGCTGAGGAGTACTGTATATCAAAATGTGGAAAATTGTACAACAGAGACAACTTTAGAAAATATTTTTTAAAAAGTCTTGCTCGATACAGAACTAACAAGGGCAAAAGTTTTCCACATGGCACCTAAAACACCAGCGTGCCCCAGTGTGACACAAGGGTCCTTGTCCTATCAATCTCCATGTTTTACATAGAAAATAAACATGATCGCAATAGCAGCTCAGTTCTTTGCCTGGAGTAAAGTAAGTAGGGTAAAAGGAAGCGTTCAGGGAACAGGACAAGAGTTGGAGGTGACAACATTCTGATGAAACTGTGGTTTAAGTCTCCCATGGCAGCCATTCTGTGAATGGGCAAATATCCTACCCAGCCACTTTGCCAGAGAATCCACAACATGCTGTCAACCTTCCAAATGTGATTACTAGCTCAACAAAATTGGGGACTCCTGGACATTTCAGACAGACAGAAATTCAATCTCTGTTTAAATACTTCTGGTGAAAGAGCCTTCTACTGTTGCAACAGAATATTCCAGTTCCCACTATCAAGCAGCTCTTATGATAACAACTTTTTTTTCCCTAATGTTGAAATTAAATCAACTTCCTTGTAATTTCGTTCCTAAAATCTACTAATTTGGATACCTGAAGGTGATCTAGACCCCTGTAGATGAATGATACTCTATCTCTTTCACAGGCTGAACTTCCTCACTTCTAACTTGTCATTAAAATAGATAAATCCTACCATGATGCTATTTGTTTCTTTCTCTATATATTCAGCACTACTTTGGTCAATGAGTTTTTTAACTGCCATCACTTCATGCTAATTATATAATATAATACTTACAGAATAAGAATCTCTGGTTCCAGCAGGATCACATTCATTGATGACCCCTTTTTAACAATTTTAAAAAAGGCAGCATTATTCTCAAAATGTTACTTTTCTCATTTTATACAGCAAGTTCAAGATCAAAGCATTTCACCTTATTGGGCGGTGACTTCACTGTTTACTCCCACAGCAGGTTTCTTTCAGAATATGAATAACTATTTATAATCTAAAGAGCATTTCTATGTGCTGAGTCAGGGCTGGCCAAAAAGCCAACTCAAGTGAAGAGGCTGAGCGCTTCATCAAAAGCAATCAACTTCATTACAAGCTATGCTGGGAGCTGACCTGATCAAAATCTCCAGTACCCTGATCTCAGACAAATCCATACCATTTGCTGATTGTACAATGTTCTATAAATAGAATTGTCCTTGCAAATCTTACCTTGGCAATGAGGAAAGCTGTTAGTTGTTGAGATACATCTGTCACACTGCTGGCCTATGAAACCAGGTCGACAGTCACATTGCCCCGTGGTTGGATTACATGCGTCCTGGTAGGAGCCATAAGTTGAACACTGACAAGCTGAACAAAAATGTTAATTTTAGAAAGACTGAAGGACCTATATGATGGGCGATATGCTGTATCCCAATTCTGGGTCCTCATGTTTTTGTCTACAAATTCCATCTTTCCCAGTGACTGGCATTTCTGTCTAAAGATGACATAATTTCCAGTCTTCCATCAACTGGAGGCCAGAGTTTGGAAATCATTAGATTAAACCTTTCTCCAGCTTGATTTTATACATTTTACAACAGTTTGAAAACTTGCTCAAGCAAGCTACGACTTCTTTGTGGAATGATGCATTCCACATTTCTCTTTTGAACACAGATATGTAACTTGGTCAATTCATTCATCTGTAGCCCCTAGCTATGCAAGTAAGCTCTTGAAGCAAAGGAAAGCTCTGTTCCTATCATATTAATGTCTCCATCTGAAATACTGAATCACTGGGGGTTGAGTTAAAAAGGAAGAAAAAACATGCAAATTGTCAAAAATACTTCCTGTATGCAGTATTCCAAATGTAATCAATATAAGCTGCTTTGCAGGGCTCTGAGCCTTCTCAATTATCCCCAGATGAGAAATGAGACAGTTCAATAGTAGAGAAGGGCCATAATAAACAAGCTACATCTGCAAAGAATCACAAAGATATATCCAATAGCTACAAAGATTAATGTTCTAGACCAGTGTTTCTCAACCTTGGTAACTTTCAGATGTGTAGACTTCAACTCCCAGAATTCCCCAGCCAGAAGTCCACACATCTGAAAGTTACCAAGGTTGAGAAACACTGGTCTGGACACAAAAGTCTTAACATTTGGAGGCAGACAAGGGTCACAGTGGACAGAGTGATGATGAAAAGTGGGCAGGGCCAACTAAGGTTTTCCATTTTTTTCTTTTTTCAAAATAAACCCAACAACACTATACTAAGTTTATTTTAGGGATTGCACTACAATTTAAGTGTGTTTTCTATTCAAAATGGCAGGAAACTACCCACCACTTTTCAATAATCATGCAAACAGAGCTCAGCAAAGCAGTGGGATCAGAGAGGGCTCCAGGGATCTTAGAAAAGTCAGATGGCCTGTCTTGATCTATAGCTATAGCGCTTCTTCCTATAGGGAAGTCATTTTTGCAGCACAAAATTGAATGAAACTGAATTTATCTCAAGTATTGTGGAAGCTACATTAGATTTTAAACTCTGAAAACTAACAATACCTATTAGGAAAAACAGTTTTCAAAAACCAGTAAGTCAGCTAAATTTTGCTTGTAAATTGAAGTGTCTAAGTGAAAATCCAGAGAAATAAACCTGAGTGTTTACTTAGCACAAGCACCTGGGGGAGCTGTAATAACCATGAATAACTGGCTGCATTTGGACCCAGCATCATTTGCATGGCAAAGACAATTGCCCTAAGGGCCACATGTGTTGTCCACAAATCCAACTGCAGCACAGCTGCATTCTAGATGAGAAAAATAAGAAACAAATTTACCATTGCATTCTGTTTAAATCATAACTTTAATTCCCTGTATAATTCCCTCCCATACAAATTTCAAAGAAATCAATGAAAGCCTAATTTCTGTGGGTGAGGGAGTTATTTCTTCCAGTAAAAATATATGGTGAATGAAGAAAGGAATATTTTCTTCTTTGTGTTAATGTTTATAATTTTTTAAAAACTATTATTTCCTACCTCTGTCATGCCACCAGTGAAATAGGTATACACCACACAAAAAGTTTCTTATGTCTTTTTCTCCAAAAAGCCCCACTATATTAATATATGTAGTGTGTGTGTGTGTGTGTGTGTTTAACCATCCTTGAATGCCCATAAAATGTATTTAGGAAAGTTATTATGGTATTGCTATATGACATTGCAAAATTAGGAACTATTGATTAATGTAGCTTTTCTGCAACGTCAGTGATTAGGATAAAGCTTAATGTTCCATGTACATTTAAAAATGCTGATCACTTTAAACAAAAGCAAAATGAATGTTGAACAGCTGCATACTGCTCCAAACATTATGTGTATATATATATATATATATAGTGTTTTGTGGTATATGAGATATAAGATGTGGATGTATGGTTGCTAGTTCACTTTTATTTAAATGGTTGTATCCTAAAACACTGTATACTCAATTTTTGATATCAAGTGGGAGCTTCTATCTTAATCTCCCTTGATGCATATTAAGTATAATTATTAATTAATACATTAATTAATAATTATGTAATGCTATCTGTCTGTTACAGATTCTTGGTCTGTTTATTGTGCCCTCTTTGGATACTTAAGCATTTATTTAGTTTCCTGTTCAACTTAGACATTGAATTGGGCTTCAAGCGAAAATTAGGGGCACAGATGGATCTCTCTGGGGCAGAGCATAAATGTTACAAATAAATAAATAGCTCATTATTATTATGCATTCCATGTATATCCTGCCTTTCCACCAAAAAAAGCATTCAAAACAACTAACAATAATAAACAAAATAATACAAACAGAATTAACATAATAAAGCAATTCAACATTTTTTCTTAGTTTCTTCTTCCCAGAAAACATGATAAACTACTATTCATGGAGAAACAAATTCATGCTGATTTGATATATATTACAATAAGCATCTAGAGGGCCAGCCTGGATTGAGATCATCACGTTCAGCATGTACATTTAATCCTTGCTATGAAAATTCACATCACCATGCTCAAAGATTCTTTAAAACAATCTGTTGGAAGATGTATGTACATTTTCTGAAATGAAGAGCTGGCAGGATGGAGGGATTACTTATGGTAGCCTCAGTCTAAATCAGGACTTTGTAAAATTACTCTAATGTCAAAAACGCACAGAGTTTGCTCTCTAACGCAAAGTCATTTTTAAAAGTCTGTGTGGATTTTAACACAGAGGGGTTTTCTCTTTCCCCAGCATTATGTTGTCCCCTCTCCTTCTGGGCAATGGATTTCTTCAGTTTCCTACCAAACTAGTAGGAAAACTTGTGACTCTTTAATACTGTATTCTTTTGTTCTACTCTGCTTTACAAAGCTTGACATTTCCAGCACAGGGATAGTTGAATAAGGACAGAACCCCAAAATATTTTTCAGGGCTTGAACAAGTATTCCAAAATTAAAGCTGCAATCCTATCGCCACTTTCCAGGGGGTGAGCTGCACTGAATTCAGTGGAAGTGGATTACATAGTAAACGCACAAGGCTGAGTGGGTGCACAGTCCACTTCATTACCCAAGCCAAGAAATGAACTATTTAAATTTAAAAAGAACTCTTTAGCAGAAGATCTTACTGATTCCAGTATCTAAGTTTCTCCTTAGAGCAGTGGTTCTTAAACTGTTTGACCCAATTAGCCCTTTTCCTGGTCTCAAATACAAGTAGTCCTCGCGTAATGATGATAATTGGAACTGGCAACTCCATTGGTAGCAATGCAGTCGTAAAGCACACTGTCACATGACCACGCCAACTTATGATGGCAGTTGTGGCAGTTCCAGTTGCGGTCTTTAGGCAAATCCCGTGCAGTCGCAGCATCCCATGCTCACGTGATCACCATTTGTGACCTCCTGCCAGCTTCCCCACTGACTTTGCTTGTCGGAAGCTGGCAGTGAATATCACAAATGGCGATCACATGACTGTGGGACACTGCAATCGTCTTAATTGCAAGCTGGTACCCGAATTGCAAGCCAAGTACCCGAATTGCAATCACGTGACCGTGGGAATGCTATGATGGCTGCAACTACAAAGAACAGACTTAAGTCCCCCTCGTTCAGCACCGTCGTAACTTCAAACAGTCGCTGAACAAGTGGTCGTTCAACAAGGACTACCTGTAATTTCATAACGTCTAAAACACCCCTCGCCTAGACTGTTGTTTTGCACGAGCGTCTCAGCAGAAGCAGCAGCCCCAAACTGGAACCTGGACTCACAAACAAGCAATTGCAAATTGTTCCATTACCCCCAGGATATCTCCAAATTACCACCTTCAGGGTAACTACCCCTAGTTTAAGAATCACTACCTTAGAGCTATGGAGGTACACTGGATTGAAATCAAGGCACTGGTACGCTGGTAAACCGGCTCTAGTGGCTTCATTGCTGCCACTGTGGTATGCTGCAATCTGCCAAACAGCTGATTGCTGCACTAGGCATTGGGGCTCAGCTCTTCTCAACTAGCTCGCAAAATTCCAGAAAATTTAACAATTGGCTCTCGCGAGCTGGTATGAGCCAGCTCCAGCATACCACTGAATGAAGGAGATTTCTGTTTAATAACATTTAACATGATAGATGTAAAGCTTAACTTTCCTCCTGCAATAGCTTAATATCAGCATGCATACTTCAGCTTTTTTAATAAATGGAGTGGTTATTCACTCAGCATTTATCAACAGGAGGTGTAATACTTGTTGGAGTTAAAAAGTTAATTCCCAAACTACATAGTGGCACATATTATACACCACCCTGTATAATACAAGAGTCTGTTGATTTGGGTGGTGCAGAAACACTATTAAGAAATGAACAAATAAATATTGCATGCTTTGTGAAGCTATGAAGTACAGCTGGAAAAATTGAATTGCCATATTGGCTGCTTCAATACCTCTAGGCCCCTTGAAACTGGGAGGCCTCCTGCAACATTCCTGTATCTTTCTCTCTGCCATATGTTAATATAAAGACACTGCCACTCCTTGTGGGAGACATGCAATTTGCAGTACAGACAATTGATAGCATCTTCATAGCACTTCCATCATCTCAGAGTCTTGATTTAGTGGATAGTTGATTCTATTTGGAGGTAGAATGTAATTATTTTGTCTTTTGATCTGTTAGCCTTTTTTAAGACAGAGATTTTTCTGCATGTAGAGATAAATGTGCTTCCAGTTTTAATCTTTTTTTAATCTTTTAAACTATAACTTTGCACCAAACTTAGATTTGAGAACTCTGGATTAGAACAAAATTCAGTTCTCAATATATTGTCATGACGTGTTCAGGTTCTTTATTCTTTTTTCTTACCACAATGATTGTTGACCCAACAATGACTGTTTAACTTGTCTTCATTTTTTAAACTTTATAACCTGCCTTTTCACCTAATGAACACAATTTATAAACACTTAAAATATAAGAACAAATAATGACCTACTTCGACAGAAAGGGTAATGGAAATACCCAACTGCACATCTGTCACAGAGAATCCCCTGAAATCCAGTCTGGCATTGGCACTGTCCTGTTCTACGATCGCAAATATCATTATTGAATATTCCTGGGCCATAGCATTGACAAGCTACATTTAAAAGAAAAAAAAATTAAATGTTAACAACAGCCATGGATTTCAAGCACAACCGGAGTGACAAAAGTCTCTTGGTGACAAAAAGTCTCCTGCAGTTAACTTTGGCATTTCCCAGAAGAATAGCAGGACTTACGTTGACAGTGTGTTCCAAAATATCCTGGTCTGCAACGACCACTTAATACCAGAAGAGAAAAGAGCACAACAGTGTTACAGCATTTGCCAAGAGTATCTTGACTGATAATAAAGTTGCAAGGCTGGGAGAGGTTGGTGCTGCATAGACACAGCTCTAAATAGCTAAGGGAATTGCGAGTAATAATCCAGGTGCAGAAACAGATGTCAAATAGCTCCAAGTAAAAGGTGTTTTTTTGCTAAGAAATAGACAAATGTTCCTATGCCAGAGGGCCCTGTGATGGATGAATTCTTAACAAGCAAAGGTTGACATCCTCTGCAGGTGTCTGCTAGTGTAGATGTGCAGTACTTGCATATGCGTTTTTAAAATATGCCTGTATGATACACTTTTAAAATTCACATGAAAAGTCCATTCTTCTGAGTTGCTCATTCTGGCTAAAGAGATGACCATCACCACCTCCCAAAATGAACTCAGATGTAAGAACATAGGGAATTAGATGGGTTAGTTGTCCATCTGGCTACGTTTGGGTCTCCAGAATCTCAGGCCAGGGCATTTCACATCACTTGCCCCCAGATTATTTTAACTATAGTAGCAGAGGTTCAACCTCTTTCCTTTGCCTGGAAAGCACGGTATTCTATCATTCAAGTATGATCTTGAGAAAAATGAACATAAGAACATAAGCAGTGCCCTGCTGGATCGGGCCTCTGGCCCATCTAGTCCAGCAGTCTGTTCTCATGGTGGCCAACCAACTGCACAAGGAAGCCCACTAGCCTCTCAGCAGATGGCCTTCAGACAGTCACACTGCCATCAAGACTAATAGCTATTGATCTCCATGATTTCCATGAATTTGTCCAACCCTTTTTTGAAGTCAACCAAACTTCAAACTAAATGGGATTATTTATTTATTTATTTATTTATTTGCACAATTTATACATGCCCAACTCCCAATGACTAAAATGATTAACAGCCTAATCTTTTGCATTTTTACCTAGCAATAAGTCTGACTGAGTTCAAGTAACTATAATTGTATATAGGATTCAGATCTTACTCTGTGTAAATAGAGTAAAGATAAAGATCTCTGTGCTGTGCTCTGTGCTCTGACTGCAATGCATTTAAGAAGAGTTTGTACAAACCAAGGCCTTGCTTCTTCTGTGTGTTTCTTCAGTAAACCCCACATAACTCCCTGAAACTTTGAAAGGATATTTATCTCCAAAGCACTTCTTAGATGGTGAAATTTTATTTCTTTCCCCAATAATGTGTACGTTAATTTTCAATCCAATATTTCAGTATAGGAGATGTTTGCTCCTGCTCTAGCATTAATAGATGGGTACACCACCCAGAGTCACCTGCAAGTGAGATGGGTGGCTGTATAAATTCAGTAAATAAATAAGTAAGTAAGTAAGTAAGTAAGTAAGTACGTTGATTCTCTGAAACTTCTTTTGTATTGTTCTATGAAAGATATTGATAGACAATAATGTTATATTCTGTTCTTAGTGATACTGTCATACCATTGGCTGTTTCCTTATAAAATAAACTAATAATGAAACTCCACAAAAGTGTTTCTTTACTAGGTTTCTAATATAAAACTGCCATGCCATCTTCATTCAGTTGTGCAGGGGTATCACACAAGATTTTAATCTAGTTGTGGTTATCTTTCATTTTCCCACCACAATGTGACTTTTCTTTTTCTTATCACAGAATATCCATTGAGGCCTAAAAAGCCAAATAGCCATGCCATTTCTTTAGAAATAAGAACTGTATAATGTACATAGCAAGAAGTTGAACCCTGGTCGGCCTATTATATGGTGGCTAAGATAACTACCCCACTTCCTTTATTGTGGCAGTAACATCTCAGTCAGTGTTATGTCTCAGATGTAGAAGGTCATTTGATTAGAAAGCATATCTTCTAAGATAATCTCTAAAATGTACTGCCCGCTCCAGGAGTCATCTCTGCATTCAGTACTGTTGATCCATCAGCTCAGTGGCAGACTATTAATATAGCTCATCCCAATTAAACAACAAAAAGTCTGGCAAAATGCCCTTTTTTACCAATTATCCACCTTTGACCATCCACAAGATTCAGTGAAGGGGTCCCTGCAGCAACTCTATTTGATTTGGATCAACTATCCCAAAATAACTTCAGCTACGTAAAAATTTCTAAAATAGTATATAATTCCCTTACCTAATTGACACCTCACTGTTTGTCTCTTCTAATTATTATCCCTCCTTAGTAAAGTTCACTTAATTAGAGTTTTAAACTGAAATGCTATTTGTTCACTCAGTGGCCTAGTTTCTCCCCCATCATGCCTAAAATGCAAAAAGATATACATTACTGTTGATGCTATAAAAAGAGAAGTTGAAACAGCTCTGAGGTGGCAGGGCACTTAGTTGGTTGCCTATCTACTTCTTTAGATTCCCTGAAATCCAGATGATTAGAAGCAAGTTGTAGAAAGTAGATGGTGGAGAGGGCTGTGCTGGCATAGTTGCCACTACTTATAACAATGCAGTTGACACACGGGAGAAAGAATTGTCCCTGGAGAATGTGGGTTACATCTTGCAGATGTTCTAATGTTTGCTTGGAATATTATCCAAATTTCACAGTCAACCAATAACCAGGGAAAATCAAGTTGACAAGTTCCCAAACTGATTGTGAAACTGACTAATCTAGGTTATGAGAACGACTAGATCAACTTGTAAGGATGTCTAGAATAGAGACTGGGCATTTTCCAGCAAAACTGATAGGGCTTATAGCCAAACCTTGTTGATGTTATTTAGATTTAATATAGCCACCCATTCCAGTCAAAGATAAGCTTACTCAAAAAAACAAACTTTGACCTATTCTGAAAGTGCTCTTTTAAAAAGTTATTCTTGTTTTCATTTGCTCTGCTCGTCATATCTATGGTGGCCAGTGATAGATAAGGAAAAAATGGGAACAACGCTATTTCAATATGCATATCATGCCTCTGTACATTTGGCGGCAGTGCGTTCCATAGTGTGGGAGCTATTAACAAAACGGTCTGTATCAATGATACAGCAATGATTGATATTCTGTTAATAAACGATAAGCTATACACAAAAAAGAAAGAAAGAAACTTGCCATCAATGTGACCAGCTGAAGAGTCTTCTGGGTTCGGAGTTGTAGCTGGGGAGATAGGAATTTCTTTCAAAAAAAGAAAAAAAGAAGCAGCCATTTAGATAAATAACTAGAGACAACAAAATTATTTACTATCCCATTTATAGCTGGTCTATAAAGATATTCAAGGAAAGTTTAAAATATATTATTACAATTTAATAGGGATGATACTAAAGGAAACACAAATAGGTACTGAAAAAGAGACAATCAAGCACATCAGGAATGACTACAGCTTGAGGCAACCATAGTTGATGGGAGACACATAGCATTTGGAAAAGACTTTGTGATATCTCACCTCTCTCTCTCTCTCTGATAAACTCTGAAGTATTATTATATATGTTAACACAAACTTGGGGAGAAATAGGGGATTTTTAAAACCTTTCTTTATCTCTTATTATCCCAGTTGATACCATTACACTACTCCTTTGCTCTGTTTCAACTTATTCTGTCTTCTCACCATAATAATTCCTTGGGACTCACCTTTTCTCACCACCCAAATCCCTGCTTGGTTCATTTTCCCCATTCTGTCTCATATACTTTCTCTTCCCCTTGCTCAGATCATCCTTTCATTGCAACATCTTGCCCTCCACTTCTCTCAGTTGTTTCCCTCAACCATTTTTATGGAAGGAGAGAAAGAAAGGGAAAAAGGATATAACTGGTTGTTGAAGGATACCCTGGATATTTTATGCAGTTAATAAATCTAGTGGAATATCACTTCCCTCTTCCTATTTTTTCTACGAACATATTTCTAATTAAGACGCTCTCTTATCCCATCTTCTCCATGTTTCCGCTCTTGCAATATCTGCATGTTAGCAAATACCTGCTTCTTGATATTTATAGCAATAATTTGAAGCAATTTATTTTTCTTATATAAGGTGTAGTGACCACATTCCATAAGCACTATAGTGAAAAACAATTATAACATTAGAATGTCAAGCAGAGAAAGGGAAGAATGAGAGGGGAGAGGGGAGCAAATTCATCTAGAAAGGAAGCATGTTTAAAAATAGAGTGGCCTGCTTTCCAATCTAGCTAATTAATCTGTCACAGAGATATAACTCCAGATGCTTGTTGTAGAAGTTCAGCTTTAGCTCATATTTCAGAAAAGACTCCTGCATGGCAATAAAAGAAAATATTTACCTCCTTGCCTTATTTGGAAGCATGACTTAGAGATAGCATTATGATAAAAATGAGAATAGGAGAATATTGAATAAATCAGTGGATTTTAGTTCAGAGATGCATTGGATATGCTGTGATACTCACGGTAGCAGAAGGGAAAGCTATGGTATCCATCAGCACACCGATCACAGGCCTCACCCTGATAATTCAGCTTACAATAACAGCGACCTGATCCTTCTTCACAGCCATTGGAATGTTCAGGGCTACACCTGCAGGCTACAGGCAATGACATCATCAAAAGCTTTCTTCAAATACATTTATTTCCTGAAGTTTACCAATATAACAATAGGAGTTCCTCTTGTATATCAGCAGTAGATTTAATAATTATAATATTACTTTTTATCTTGAAATGTGTGTGAAGCTTATTACATCAATATCCTTCTTTTATAATGACAGGAACTTAAGTAATTATTACCTCAAAGTGGAAATTTATTTATTTTGTTTCAAGGGGGTTACAACTGCATTCTAGAATGTCACTGATAATGCAATGATCTGAATGCTGTATCATGGTATCAAACACAATTCAGGTCTATATTCACCGCCCCCCCAGCTCCCATATTTCAAGGACTCTTGTAATGGAATTGCTTGACCATACGTTTACATCTCTTTCAATGGAGCACTTGATAGAAAGTTTCCTTTTTATTTTGGCATTTGTGTTCCACTTCCATGGCAGCTTACCAAAAACAGTTAAAACAAAGTAAAACATTGTTTAAATCATACAAGTGCACACACAAGGAACGTAGCAAAGCAGCAGAACCACAGCACTACAGTGAGAATTTTTTTAAAAGGCCTGAATAAATATGGAATGGTCTTTAGCGCCAGAAAGAACATGAGGTTTGACAGAACTTCATAACTGAGAATATTTTCCTTGTGGATACTTCTCTAACTTTTAAAAATTGGAGGCATCCAGAGAAGCATCCTTAAGACTTCCAAAAGACAGACCTAAAACCAGGCCCTTAGCTGGTAAGTTCTTCAAAAGAACTATACCTCCCTATGAAGTGCCTTTAAGAATAAAATGGCAGACCATTAAATAATGTAATCTCACTCACAGCACAAATGACCAGGCTCAAATTATCCTACTTCGGACACATTGTGAGAAGACCTAGCTCTGTGGAGAAGGTTGTGATGCTGGAAAAGGTGGAAGGAAAGAGGACTAGCAGCAAGGTAGATAGACCCAGTTATGGTGGCGATGTATACAGTGCCAATGAGTTGGAAAACCTGTAGGACCAGGTTAGGGATAGATTCTCATGGAGAAATATGTGATCACTAAGAGTTGACACCAACTTGATGGCACATAATCAATCAATCAATCAATCAATCAGTCAGGTAAGCCCTGGTAATATTCCATTCAGCTGATCAACAGTCCAGTTCTAAGCCTGTTCAGCTGCCTAATGATCTTCAAAGTTACCTCCCAACAAGAAAACAATAATTTGAGCTACCTCAAGAAAATGGATAAAAGTTGCTACCCTGTCTTTCCAGGAGTAGTTGCAACTGGTGCATCAATTTTAGCTTTTTTTGGTCTTAGACCATTAAAAAATAGTCTAGACCAAAGTAGCCAGCCATGCTATTTTGTTGTGATAGTTAAGTTTTCCAAATGTAGCAAATGAGAGCACTTCCAATACCACCCCATTTCATTCCTGTAACCTCTCAAAATAATTAGAAGCTGGCTTGAAATCATCTCAGCTACTGCTGCCCTTGAAATAGAGCACAAGAACATCATAATCAATCAGAGAATCTCATAATTTTTATTGAGTCAGCCCCACACACCCACTCCACACAAAATGAAAAGAAGTAAATTATTAGCATCTTCCTGTCAGTTTAATTCATGTTCTTTGTACTTGTCAGGCCATATACCTGAATGAATGAATGAATGAATGAATGTCTGAGCAATTGTTAGAGAGGCAGTTGTAAACCCACCAAGTGGCCTATCCTTTACAGCCCCTACAAACTGTGACACCAAGAGAATAGCATGTTAATATTGTTTTCCCCAATAGCTGTAACCATGGTGCTGTGGTAGGGGAGTGGGGGAGAGACATATTCTAATCAAAGGACACTGAAGTTTGGGGAAGGGTAACTTGAGTCTAAAAGTCAAGAGGATGGTAGGGGCAAGAATATGAAAATGGACCACCCACACACTCCATATATGTGCAGCATTTCATATAAATAACAATGGAACCAGAAAAAAATTGACTCAGGTTTCAAAACCAGCCAGCACCATCATTATAGAGAATTGGAGCTGGTTCCAAACTGGTGCATAGCCCTCATTGGTGATGTCCTTCAAAATCAGAGAGACCAAGGCAGCCAAAAGTACTCTAGTATCTTTGACAATTGTCCAACAGGTTTGGCATTTGCCATCCTAATAGAGAACTTTTCCCATGTTATCTAAAATAAAAAGCATACGCTAAAATATATTGAAATTAATTGTACCATTTTTTCCTATGAATATATTGAGGGGAAGGGGCTAGTAAAAAGAATAGAAGAAATAGACATACGTATACATCCATGCACTGCCGTGATTGGAACACCATATGGACGATAGTACCCCTTCAAACATTTCTCACAATTTATACCAGCTGTGTTGTGCTACATGGGGTAAAATGAAGGGGAAAAAACTGGCATGAGAAAAATACAATCGGAAGAAGAGCTAAACAAGAAATAATTAAATTTTGGCAACTTTAAATGCGTTACTGCTGTTAAGAAAAAGGTTGATGTAGCAGAACTACAGTGATTTGTGATTTCTGCCAATGTATAAGGAATACAGGCTGAGCCAGGAATGAGTAACTTTGGGTTCAAGAGGGATTAACAATCTTTTCTGACAGTAGGTGCCATCACATGATTTTACATAATATCACAGGCCATCAAGTTTAAAGAAAAACTTAAAAGGCAAAATAAAATTAAAAATGGCCACATTATAATGAAAACTCTGAATTTTCATATGAGATCTCATCAGATCTGGGGCATTTCTACTTTTACCTTTATTGTATTTTGATGATGTTTTGTGGGTGCCATCTAATGGTGTTATAGGTATTGTACTGCCAACTTCCAAGGTTCAACTATATATATGATAAGCTACCAGAGCTCCATCTTGGAATATCTCTCTGAGCAATGTAGTATTGGGTCCTTCATAGATACTGGAATTACCAAGCTTAACCACTGAATTTCATCAACTAAAAGGACCATCAAAGAGTTTAAGATGTAATTTTGCCTGACCAATTATAATCTTTCCTAGCTGTTTCTAATATATGGCTTCCTTTTTGCGTTTGACTTTTGATTTGTTTCTTGATTTGACTTCCTGTTCTTTTAATTTTTGTTTCTACTCTGACTTCTCTCTGTTGTCCTCCTAACACAAAATAGATTACTCTTTTGACTCAAACTTGACATACACAACCACGTTTCCAACATGGTATTGACATAAAGCATGTAAAATCATAAATATCAACTGTAATAAATTCAACCTTATATAGAAGATGAATTCAGTTCTAGGCACTGCAGTTTTAAAAGGACAGTGACAAATTGTTCAAGTTCAGAGGAGGACAACCAAGATGATTAGGAGTCTGGAAACCAAGCCCTATGAGGAACAGTTAAAGGATGTTGGTACAATTAGCCTGTTGAAAAGACAACTGAAGGGAAATATGATAGCATTCAAATATCTTAAGGACACAGAAGAAAAAGTGGACATATTTTCTATTGCCCAAAGGACAGGGTCAGAACCAGTGGGTTAAAACTGCAAGGAAGTAGGTTCATACTAGGTATCAAGAGGAACTTTAACTGTATAAGCTGTCAGCCCATGGAATAGACTACTACAGGTAGTCCCCAGGTTACGAACGTCCAATTTAAGGCAACCTATAATTAAGAACAGAGCCTATTGTAGCAAAATTTGAGTTAAATACATAAGGATTTGAGTTAAATACACTATGGTTCGAGTTAATTACCTAATGCTGCTTATACAGTATTATATAATAATACCATTCTAGCTTACATACAAATTTGAATAAGGGCAGACCTTGGGAATGGAACTCGTTCTTAAACTACAGGGACTACCTGTATATGAAATGGTGAGTTCTCCTTTGTTAGAGGTCTTCAAAAAGAAGTTGGATGCTAATCTAGCAGAAAAGTTCTTGTGGATCCTACACTGACATAGTGTCAAGCTAGATGACCTCTAAGGTAACTTCAGATTCTATTGTTCTATGACTCATAGGATCCATTCCATTAAAGAGCTTCATTCAAATAAATGTAACCGAGAATATATGTTTGGCACATTAATTTATCAGGACTGAGCAACCACCAGCTTAGTACAGGGGCAAAGATATTTCATGAAAAATAATGGGGAAAATAAGATTTACACCAGGAAAATACCTGTAGGTCACAATACATACATTATAATCATTAAAATTATCCACAGAAATAAACATATTCTCTTTCTGTGTATCAAGTCCTAATTTTCAACTGTTTGCCATTCACGTAAACAAATTTAATTGTGTATCTGTACTACAAATAGAAAAGTACTATTTATATGCATCTTCAGGGAGGGAAAAGATATAATTAGATTTTAGTATAAGCACTGAGCTTCATTTGCACCAATGAATTATGGACAATCAACATCAATTGCAAGTGATACCATTTCATAAGATTCTAATTATTTTTCTACTGCAATGATGTTTAGAGAAGAAGTTTAGCCAGTAAATTATTTTATGGGCAAAAGTGCAAAGAGGAAACTTCACAGAGAAGTGTCAAATGGAAAAGAAAAGGTTTTCCTCTTTCTTTTGAAAAACAATTAGTCTTTTACTTACATCCAGCTTTGCCTCTGACAAGCAGTACTTTCAGTTTAGGAAGGAGAACAAAAGTACTGCTTGGATTCCAAATCACAACGGGAAAACTGTTTATCTTCTCAGAAATACAAATGGTACTAGGAAAACATGAATTCCTTTCTAATCCTTTGTTTTAATTTCAAATCTAGTTTAATTTCTACCCTTCCACTCAACCAATATAGCTATACTAATTGATATGATAGAGAAATCCCCCATTTTCTGAGAACATGTTTGGACCCCCTAAGAATCCACTGCTGAGGATCAACAACATGAACCATTGTCCTTTTACTTCTTCTCATCAGTCTGTCAACCAAATGATTAATGTTCGTTTTGTTAAAAGTTATTGATCCAATGTTATCAGTCATCACATTTTTATATGTGCTAGTTTTGCTTCTGTATCCAAAGCTACACAAATACATTGTGGCATACACAAAAAGGATTGGTTTGTGACCATATCTGCATTAGATCATTTTTGTGCAAGCTATAATTGAAAAAAGCGTGAGGGAATTATGTACAACAGTATGCATCTCTTGGGCTGACAGCAGTGACCTAAGACAACAACAGTCAATATTTTATGGGAATCATGTTGCACTTAAGGTTTGTGGGGAGTATGAAGGACACAGGGACAAAGTGATGAAGTGGGTGAGGTCATGTCATGCTGCAGTAGACTTAGGGGGCTTGCAGGTTATCTGATAATCCTTAAGTCAGTAGCCTGCTGGCTACCTGAGGATTCTTACATATTCCATAAACACAGCCACTCTTCTTCCAATGAGACAGCTGAATGGGATTCAGGAGCAGAGAAGGTGAAGAATTTCTTTATTCTTTTGGGAGCCTTCAAGAGAAGCAAGGATCTTAAACCATTATTTTTTTTACTGGGAACTCAGGCTCAATGCTCAGAAAGTTCTGGGAGAACTAAAAGTAGTAAGATATACTTGGCAGAGAACTTTAGAAGATGGGAGAGAAATGTTTTATTTCTTTTCCGTGCTGCTAGTGCTCAGAAGTATTGCCTTCATTTGTGCTCCCATCCTCTGTCTCTTTATGCTTTGCTTGTTTATGATTATTACCTCTGATATTCAGATCTTAGCCTCATGTAACTTGTAGTAGCTAGCTCATTTTCTAAAAAAATCCTTTGTTGCTCAAAAATCATTTATTCTTTGTTAGTCTAGTATGTATTTTGTCCTACCAAACACACACCAAAATTATGTGTACTTAGTCAGAAAAAAAAATCTGGAGTCTTTTATTTAAATACTTATTCCTGGGGAAGGAGGATTTCTTCTTCTGCCCCACCCAGATTCCAGGTGAGGGGATACCTCCCCATTCAAGAACAGGTGCTGGTACCTTAACTACTTGCACAAGTCTTTCACTAGAGGAATAGCAATACCCAGGCATCCCAGATTGTTAAAAACTATTCTTAGAAAAGAATGAGAGTATGTTGTTGCCCACTTTGTTATATGGAAATAAGAGTTGGGTATATAAAGAACATAAAAGTAAGTTGAATGCATGGGAATGGGGCATTTCAGTGTATGTGGCAAAACAAGAAGAGATAGGGTCAAGAATGAATGGGTGATGAATGAATGAATATCATGTGGATACAAAAGTGAATGCTAGTAAGAAAGAAATACATTGAAATGGTCATTTACAGACACCGAATGAGGGTTTCACAAAACATAAATATGAAGGAGAAGAAAATTGGTCAGGAAGAAGTGAATGACTAATAAAGTTGTGGCTGAACGCAGTTAATGAGATCCTGAAAAAGAGAATGGTGAGAAGTTTAAAAAGCAAAAGGTAATACATGAACAGTATATGGACATGATGGAAGCAAAGATGGTTTGCAAAGATAGAAAGGTATGGCAAGCTATGGTGAATGAAGATTCAGTTATATTTCCTTTTCTTTTTTCTTTTCTTATGTCTTTAATTTATTTGGCATATTATTTCTTACTTCTTTTCCACACTCTGCATAATACTGATTACCCTAAAAGGGAATTGTGTGATAAGTACCCCTTTGGCAGAAATAATAGCTTCCAAACAGATCAGTGTCTCATTGAAATATCAGATCTCTGTATCTGTGACTTCTCTGAAGCTGACCAGTTTTCAAACAGTTCTACAAGAGCTTTTCTTCATTTTCAAGCTAACACCCTATAGTTAGTGAAGAAACTGAAGCTGAAAAGAGGTTGAATATTTCAGCAAGACAATAATCTGAAACAAACTTTCAAATCAACCATGAAGTGCTTGTAGGAAAGAAGGCATGAATTTGGAATGACCTTCACAATCCTAAAATAAAATATGATTGAAAATCTGTGGGGATGTCTCAAACGTGCAGTGCATGTAAGGAGACTTTAAGAATATTTCTAAGCTAAAAGAGTTGGACAAGGAAGAAAGAAAAATTCCAAAAGCAAGGAATAGAAAGACTTTTAGCTGGCTACAATAAATATTTAGAAGCTGTTATTTTTGCCATACTAGGTGTTACAAAGTACTGATTCAAAAGATGTCCAAACTTCTGCACTTGCCATATTCATTGGTTTTTTTTTAAATTTTGAATCTGTAAACAACTGCATGCAAATAGTAAAATTTGCAGAAAGATGTCTTAACTTTGTCTCTTGTAGATGATGTGTCAGCTTCTGTTTACTTAGGGATTCACAGAAATCTATAATTTGACTAGGATGCCTAAATTTCTGTATACAACTGAATGCATGCTCTTAGAAAAGATTGTGAATGGCATTTCCGCAAAGCTAGAATGACATGATTTCAAAAAGAAAGAGAATAAGATAATGTAAAAATACTTTAATATCTCTTGAAAATTAGGGGATTAATATGCACTTTTACACAATACACTTATCATTATATGCATTACTCAAATGCATTTATCTGTATTGTTTTAACATTTGTGTAAAAATATGTTATGGCACTACCTAAATCACATATTCTTAGAAATAGCCTTACTATGGTCTAATAGTTCTATTCTAAGGAATAGTCCTACATAGTTAGTGATCAAAATTGAATAAAGCTTTGAGTGACAGAAAATTACCCTCTCTTCTCTAGCCCAGAACAACTGAAGTTCAGTATGCCATTTGCAACTTTCATGTACTTATCAGTCTACAAAAGGGGTTGCAGGAGGGGTTTACCTGACACTCAATGCAGACTCCTCCCCCTTGATACTGTCCATGAAGATTTAAGCTTTCTTTACGTTGTTCGACCTCAGGATCGTAATAGCAGTCAAGGGCATGGCTATGGCAGTTGCAGGCTGAAAAAGATGGTGGATTAAAATTATTTTTAACAAAAGGAGAAAATGAGCAATGGACACTAAGTTTTTTAAAAAGTATCACAAATTGCACATACAACCTGCTGTGACTTTTTCACAATCAGCAACAAGGCAGATATAATGTGCTCAGCTTGCCATCATGAAGCAATCCCACTTACCAGACTTTAATCAGGTTGGCTTGACACAAGAGACAAAAAAGGCCATTTATATGCTCTAAAAAACTGCAAAATCAAAGCTCAAATCTAAAGAAACAAAACATCATCTGCAAAAACCTTTATTTTCTAATGCAACTGTTTACTTGTTAGTTGCCTGACTTGATCTAATTTCTTAGAACAGACTGAAAAAAAGAGACACTCAAGCATCACATCAAGAAGCTGTGCAGTTAAGCCATAAAGCATGTTTTACAAAGCACAATAGCTGGTGTCACATATCACACCCGAGGTGAGCAAACTCATGGAGACTGGAACAGGAATACAGTCAGATTTATCCAACAGTAATCTTTTCCTGTGAAGATTGAACTTCAAAAAGCTCAGTGAAGGGTCAAAAAGCTTATTTTGACCCTTCCATGCTCTCACAGCCTCCAGGTTCTGGGTAAGAACTTCCACAGCATCCCTGGTCTGACCTGGGATGGCAATCGGTAACTGAGTATAAATGGCATATTGATGGTACTTCACCCAAAATCGGTGGATGACCTCTCCCTGTGGTTTCGTGTAGATGTTAAATAGCATGGGGGAGAATACAAAATCTTGTGGCACCCCTTACTAGAGCAACCATTCCTCTGCCATGCAGTCCATCTGTGTGCACCTTGCCAACCCTGTACCCATATTATGGTAAAACCAACCAAGCACTTTTTGGCTTAATGCAAAGTATGGACCCAAACACTGAGATACTGAGTCATTATGAATGCTGTTAGTAATGCAAGTTCTTGGGGAACCATAAAGTCTAGATCACATTTTACTTCTAAAGGACAAATATGTTGTGAGCTGCCCAGAGTCCCCCACTGGGGGGAGATGGGTGGGGACAAGTTTAATACATACATACATACATACATACATACATACATACATACATACATATTAAATGAGATACGTGCCATGAAGAGTGTCCTTTTTCTTCCCAATCTGCCAGTATCTTCAGCAGGAGTACTAACCCTTTTGTGAAGCTCTTTTTATCTTTTTTCAATTATTTAATTTAACAACTAGTTTCTTTGTATCCTTCTTTAGGCAGCCTAGCTCTTAACTCTTAGGCTAAGCTTGTGCACTTTTACTATTACTGCTCTTATCTTCCTATTCCTCTACTTCCCCATTTCTTCCATTCTATATCAGTATTGGTCTGGAAAACTGAGACTGATTGGTTTTGGGGGCAGGGGAGGTGGGTAGGAAACACTGTCCCATTACTCTATGCATTCTGATTCAATACAAATGTAATCAATCCAGAGCTCCTAATTATTCAATATTTTCTGCTGCAAGTGGTTTGCTTACTCAGGATGATCAAGTAGCTTAAGATCTTGAAAGGGAAGAATGTAATGTAATTATTTACTTATACTTTTCTTTATGCATTTTTATTTTAAAAATAGTGAATTGCTTTGTAGGAGTAACACAAAATACAGAGCTCACCATGGGACTCATCTGTCTGTTCTAGCTTACCATTTGCATGATTGTTATTATTATACAGTGTAAACCTGGCAAATTTGGCCTGTGTACACATTAAGGCAACACTTTTCTTTCTTCATGACTTACGTTCACAGATATTTGTGCTACTGACTGTTGCAGGTTGCCAGCTTTTCTGATTATACCCTGGGCAGCAATGATCACAGGTTTCCCCACAGGTATTGTGCTGACATTCACATTGGTACCTGTAAGTATTAAGTAATTCTCAGTTAAATTTCCCTTGTTGTGCTTCTCATGATTTTTGTTGTACTGCTCATATCCTATTTCCTTATTAAATGCTTTTTAAAAAATAATATAATTTATAGATTATGTTCTAATCTGATGATAATACAAATTCAAGTGTTAACATATTTGTTTATAAAATGTATATTCCACATTTTGACTAAAAAGCCCAAATAGGAGACTAATAACTTTTTCAAAACAAAACTCATTCTTTAATAGCCTTGGGGATGGATGAATGAATAACATTTACTGTAATCTGAGATTTTGGGGCAGAGAGAATCCACCATGTCATCTCCATCATTTTATAAACATAGAATAATTGACCGCAGTCACTTCCTCATGAGATGGGCGGTGGCTACATTTGAAATATAAACAAACAAACAATCTTTTGTAACTGCTATTGTTTTAATTGTACTGTTGGTTACTTTACCTGTATGAATCTGGAACAGTTTTTGCAGCGCATACATCAGCGTGTCCATGACAAACACACTGCCCACCAATGCTGATGTCTTTTATACTGTAGTAGTACTAGATAACAGAAGAAATGAGATTTGTAGAGAAACAGCAGAAGCAATCTATTTTCAAAGAGTTCTGTTAAATAATTTTATGAATGCAATAGGATACAAATTATTTGCTATGAAATATAAATTTGGCCCAAGTATGTTCTCCAAACATGTATTACTTATTCTGCTACTAAACCATTAGACAGAGACTGGTAACACCTTTTTCATGAGAGCAGATCCCTTTTAATAACATTTGTTAGTCAGAAAAGATGCTACCGGACTCTTTCTAATTTTTTGCCACTATAGACTAACATGGCTCTCCTACTACAATGCTACTAACCCATGTATTTGTTTTGTTTTTTAAACTTCCTATATTTTAATGTTTTTCACAGACCAAAGAGGCAGAAGACAAGAAACAGTGGAGGGAAAGGGAGGGGACTGTATCAATACTGATAGTAAAAAAATAAAGGGGTAAAAAGCTATACCCATGGGGGAAAGAAGAAAACCACATACAAGCTTCCCCAGAGAAAAGTTGCTACAATGCAGGAGTACAGCTATGAATGGAAGGCTGAAATCTTTTAGCTCAGCTATGGGACCCACTTGGTGTCTTTAGACAATCAGCTACATTTCAGCTCCCTTATCTTTAAAATTAAAGTAATTTTTGCAATGCAAAAGTAAGTGTACAAGACCATTTCTGCAGGATATATATTGGTACTTTGAAGCAGGCAGCTTCCCATTGGCACAAATTTCCATCTCATGGTGTCTCTTCATTTCACCCCCTTCCTTACCGAAGCCAAGCCACCATGTGCCTCATCATTATTTTGTAAGGAAAATATATCTTTGGGTGAATCTTTGGTTGAAAAAGACAAGTTTAAAAAGATGCTCCCATTCAGGTGAATGGGATCACCTTAATAAGATTGAAACATAAAGGAATGGGCAGCATCCTTGAAGGTGGTATGAACTAGGCTGGTTGTAAATTCCATATCAGAAACATCTCCATAGCAACTTAGGCATCTGTCTTGAGGGAGGATGCCTTCTTCCTGGCATTGGCATCTTGAACTAATTTGTTTCTTCTTCTCTGTGACACTATTGTTTTCCTAATAGATAGCAGATAACAGAGGGGCAGAAAGTAACTTGAGAATTATTGCTTATTTAGGTATGCCTACATCATCATATGAATACGTACGCGTATGCATTCTTTTTCCCTTCCCCTTCTTGTAGAACTATATAAATATCAGGACATCCATTTCGCCTACAGGGCAGTGTCTCCCACTAACCTTTGGTGGGGTCCCCCCCCAATACATACTGCCTAATAAACATTGCAATGAAGCCTTGATTATTTTGCATTTGTGTCCTGCGTTTTGATTCCACAATTTCAGCAACGTTTCACCAACTTTGGTGCCTCATGTAGTGGCTGGCTTTTTTTCCCTTGCTGGAAAAACAACTCTATTCAGTTAAGGACAATGCCAATTTCCACCCTTCTGTATTAGTCAGTTGGAGGGAATGATTCTGAGGTTTTGGACAACAAACCCAGAAGTACCTTGAGATACGATTTAATATAGGCAATTATTTGAGCACTTGGGGAAACTATTTATCTATTTATATTTAAACTCTACTACAGACACAATATGCCAAGACCTAACTCTCTGGAGAAAATGCTGGGAAAAGTGGAACGAAAGAGAAGAGGATGACCAGCAGTAACTCGGTTACAGTGGCAATGGGTGTGCTATTGGAAAACCTGAAAGACCAGGTTAGGGATAGATTGTCATGGAGAAAATCTATCTATGTGGTCACTAAGAGTCAACAATTACTTGATGGCACATCTATCCTTAGAACAAACTCTATTATATCACAGAGACATACCAGACAAAAGGGAAATACTATAAAGTTATTTTTCCCCTTACTATTCATCTCAGTGGCCAGTATAATGCCCTTGTACTATTAATTCAAACACCTGTCATTTTTCAATGTCATTTAGACAATTCTCTTCTATTACTGTTTATAGAGATGCCATTCCTTGAGCCTTCAAGCTTATAAAAATTCACCTGGGAACAAATTTCTCTGAATTAAGTGGCACTTCTGAATAGACTAACAGAGGATGGCACTGCATTCCTACAATTTGAATAAGGCTCATTGGACTAGTAAACTTATTTCAGAGTAAATACACATAGGATTGAAGTCACTTGCAAGCATTACTAATTTATATGGTATTCAAGGAATTAATAGCTTATCATTTTACCACCACTCCCTACCATCAGCATATTTATAACAGATAAAACTATACCTGTCTGGGCTGACTCAATGAAAATGTCAATATCAACAATGATTTCTAAGTACATATAAGAAAGAGATATTCTCCACCCTATCAGCACGGTACTGATGCATATTTCAAGAAGGTGGAAATGAACCAGGTTTGCTGCCTTATTCACAGTAACCACAAAAAGCAAAATGGTTTATCTTACAAACTCTGGTTTATAGATGCCTAATTATTTAAAAAATGTTCCAAATTTTTCTAGCAGTTCTAGCCTACTGGAATCTGAGGTAACTTAGAACTCAGTCTCACTTTTTCTTTTTATATACTGTATATACCTGGTCAAGAGCCATTAAATTGAGATAATCCTCAATTAAAGTATTTCTTAGATGAAAAAATCCTGTTCTCCTTAGATCACTTGCCTGCATTTTTCTCTGCCCCTGAAAAATATTGATATATGCATCACACCCTTGGCTAGCAAAAAAAAAAAAAAGTGGCTTTAAACAAAATATGTCCTGCGATAAAAAGAAATCTAAGTCACGTGTGCCTCCAGGGTTCATGTTTCTTTAAGAATGTCCAGAATAAGGACTTTTCAATCTTCAGGTGATCACAGCATAGTTAAAATGAAGTTGCAACTAACTAACTAACTAACTAACTAACTAACTAACTAACTAACCAACCCTAACTCTATCCCAATGCCACATTTGCTGCTACCCTTGGACACAATATAAACTTTTGTGGGGAAGAAGAAGTTCACTAGATATGAATACTTAATAATACAACAATCTTTCTGTCTGTCTGTAAAATGGATTTGCTTTAAGATCCTCTTTCTTACTAAGCAGTGCCAATTGTCACAAAAACACACCAATGAAATACATTGAGAAGTCTACTCTCTTTCATCAATACATGCACTTTGCGTGCATTAATAGTCTGCAGGAATTTAACCTTCATAATGTGCTTGAGACAAAAATTGTGGTTTTTCTGGTATAAAGTGCAACCTTAAAGAAGTTTTAGGTTGCAAAGATAAATTTGTCCATTTACAGGGATTAGACATATTTCAGTGATATATAAAAGCCCATTTGAATTCCTACATTGCTGCAATGGAGATGTTTCCAAAGATAAATATTGTACCTACTTTTGCCATCTCCGTTTTTTTAGAAAGTCTCTCAGTACAAGAACTGTGCATAACCATTTTGCCTAACACTTTGTAAAAATTATGCCAGTTTGGAGAGAACTAAACTCAGTGGAAATATTCTTACTCAATAAAAAATTATTCACATATGAGAACATGTAGACAGAAAAGGCTTTGGGTTTGTTGTTCTTGTTCTTGTTATCCTCTAAACCTCAAGCAATATGCCATACTATAATGTATAATATGGAAAGTTTACGTGGAATGTTCTATCCTAAATTATCAAGAGTAAGCTACAAGCTGTTTGAAAATTGGCCAAAGGTTTTGCAGAATAATTCCATGGCCTTAGTACTTCTTCCAATCTATCAGATTTCCTCTGTCAAAAAGAACAGGGACTCACTCTGCGTGTCACAGTCGGATCCCTCTGAGCTTTAGAGATCAAGTGTCCGAGAAGAGTATTGGTTCTGAGGAAATGCAAACGAATATTTGTGGCTTTAGTAAACTCTCTAAGTATGGAAGAATGGCTGAAATTATTTGCTCCTGGACGGCCATTTACCAAGGATATCACAATCTGATTCAAAAGAGAGAAAGAGATGGACAAATCAATAGTATGCAATTTATAAATTTCTAAAGAAGGAGTAAATGAATTATGCCACTGGACTATGCTTGCAGTCATTCTGCACTTAAGTGTAATTTACTTATTTAGATATCCAATATCTAAATAAATAAATCTATATCACTTTAGATATCCAATAAAGGGAATTTCCTGGGCTGAATATAATTATCTAAAACATTAACAATTATATTACAAAGCATGACAATCTATTAACATACTTCTCTAGGTTAACATAGAGATCTTTGTTAATATAGATGATTGCACATTTAAATCAGTGAAGGACATAAACAGTTATAACCCAATATAAGTCAGAGTCTGGAGGGAAAGAGAAAGGGGTAGGATAGGTTTGTGGTATTCTCTTCATATGGAACTGATGATAGGTAGGTAGAAGAGGCTTGTATGACTCTGTTTGTTATGGTCAAATCACATCATTGTGAGTTTCAGGCTGGAAGACAATACAAACCTCTGTAAGTGTGGATAATTGGTTAAAATGACCCAGTTGTTGTTGTTTAGTCGTTAAGTCGTGTCCGACTCTTCGTGACCCCATGAACCATATTGCGCCAGGCCTTCCTGTCCTTCACTGCCTCCCTGAGTTTGCTCAGTTTCATGCTCATTGCTTC